ACCCACATGTTCCAAAGGGTGTTTGTTAATGGGTGTCAAACCAAAAGACCCCCTTCACGTGCAATGAAGATTTGTTAAGTGTGGGTTGTGTTGGTTCCAGCTGTGTGTCAACATGACCGACGAGCGACTGAGGCGCTACGTCTCTGAGGTGCTATTCCAGCAGGAGCAGGCTGAGTGTCTGCAGGAGGGCATCGCCATGGAGACCTCGCCATCCCCCAGCAACCATCCATCTGCTCTGGACTTCTTTCTCCAGGTACTGTCAGTTGGACTTGCACGTAGAAGTAAACTGAATGAATAGAAATAAGTCACACAATCAAATAAAAATCCCTCAATATACATGTCATACAGTAAAAAAAAAAAAAAAAATGTGTTGAATTGACTCCATTTATTTCACCTGGCTGCACAAAATAAAATCACCGTCGTGTCATAATGTTGGCGTCTCTTTGCGAACCAGAAGCCTCAAGGACTGCTCAGCGTGTTGGATGAGGAGAGTCAGAGTCTTTGGCCGACGGAGCAGAACCTCTACAAGAGGTTGTCCACCCAGCTTGAGTCCAACCCGACGCACAGCCTCTCCTTCACCACCAAGGATGGCAACGGAAACCCACCACCCAAAGATCAAGGCCCCACTTTTACTGTTCGCCACTATAGCGGCCAGGTCAGAAAAATGAACGCCAAGCATGTCAGGACTGAGGAATCCATTTTCTTCTGGAATAGCAGTGCCGTTTAGCAAGAGCATATATCAATTAATTATGTTGAAATTGAATATAATGTTACCACCTTATGGTAGAATCCTCTCCCTTTTCCACTGTGCAGTCACTACTTGGCTCAACATGGCTTGACTTGTCTTTTGATGCTTTTTCTTCGGCAAAAGCAGGACCTAATTCTACTAATTCCTGGTCAACAAACCTAGCGAACCTCTCACAGTTTCCAAAGCAAGTTGAGCAATGGAAAAGCGGCCCAACAGAATTGGGCTTGACACTGTTACATACAATACCTGATAAGATTTGTCCAGTGTATGAAATCCAAACCCTACAGTTAAATAATGAGAAATGGCCAATGAAAAGCAAAATTAGCTGCTGTCTGCTTTAATGAACAGTGCTACCGAGCAATACAGCTAACCCTCCTTTTTAATCCTAATTATTCAGGTCCTACGGGTTGTATACATGGAATTCAATTCAGAAAACTTACTAAAGGTGGAATATGGTGCTTGGTACCTTTGCAATCATCATGCTTTCATGTCACCATCCTTTCATCCGTAATGCAAAACTGTCTGAAAGCCATTTTTTTGAGTCCCATTGACCCAGTCACCCTTTATATGGACATAATGAAGTGGTTGTGCCTCATATCAAACATAATGTGTTCCATTAGTTGCCTGTATTAGATAGATATGAATAGGAAGAGCATTTTTATTTTAAAAAAACAACAAAAAAAAAACTACCAAAAACGTTTTCTCTTTTCTTCCTAAATCATGTCCAAAAAGATGAAACAAAAGACAATTAAACATTGGTGTCTGTAAACACCAAAATGCTCAACTCAACTCATATAATAGCAAATGTCATCTTATTGATTACATAAAGTGAAACGACTTTGAAAGTTTATTTGTCAATGTTATGGCGGGATCGTTCCAGAAATGGAGGAAATTTTGGCTTCTAAAATTTTTGAAAAATAGACCTTCACTTTTCAGGTTTTCTGCTTCATATTCATCAATTGGAGGTTATAAACCATCAAAGGCTTGATTAGCTCAGCTTAGATCAGTGCTCCAATTTTCATGACATGATTTATTTGCTGTTTACACTGCCCGTCACTGTAATCACAGTAACAGGGTAGCAAATCCGGATGAATGTTAGCTTTGTCTCATGAGTAGAAGCTGGCAAATTGACTCATGTCAATAAGTAAAGAACATTTTTCCAAAGAATTGTCTTATTCTCATCAGATCCTTAACAGGGTTGCTTCAGATAGAATGAGATATTCAATCAAGGCTAACGACACAAACTATAGAACTGTATAAACAATTAAAAGTCGTCTTTCCTCATTTGTCCCCTTTCAAAGCAAAAAGTGGACATGACTTGGTCCATTGTCTGTGTGTCAACCAGGAAGTGGATTCCGTGTTCATGTTGCTCTCCGCCGTGCTCCATATTGGGGATCTGCGTTTCACTGCGCTGACAGACGGCGAGAGCGCCTTCCCCTCTGACCTGCAGCTGCTTGAGAGAGGTCAGTATGCACACGCACCCCAGCATATGATCGGGGTCCCATTTCATCCACGGAGCTTCAAACGCACCCATCTTATTTACCACGTCGTCCCTTCTCCTCCGCTCCTCATTGTCGTCACCCCAAAGTCGCTCTTGGCAGCTTGCCAGCACGTGCCGGGTTCCAGACTCTTGCGTGGTAACCACGGTGACGGTAGATCACGCATGTAAACACACTCACGCTTGATTGAATACTTTTCTTCTCACCCTGAGTCGTATTTATTTAGTAGCTTTGAACGTGTGCTACGGCAGCCCCCGAGCAGCGATAAACAAATGACATCATGGCCAAAGCGGGTAAGCGGGCTGATGTCAGGGACATATGAGGTCAGCAAAGAAATTCTGGCTTGCTTTGACCGTTTTCTTTATTTTGGGTTCTGCTGAGAAATCCCCTCATGATTCTTCCTGCCACTGATCAATTTGGCAAGAGCCAGGCTTATGAGGTCATCATGATGTCACACACGGCACTATCTCCAGTCAGGCTCATCTTTATCATTTATAAAGATCTTTGAGTGCATTAATGCCAATAACTGAAAAAAAAAAGTCAAATAAATACCCTATGTTTAAATTAGCTGATGTTGTTTGTTTGTTTCTTGCCAACAAGTATTGGGGCCAACCTGAAAAAACAAAACAAAACAAAAAAATTAAATGTTAATTCCTCTTAAAAATAATTAAGTTGGATACTTTGGAGGGAAAAAAAAACATATGCATTTTGGAGATTAAAAACATGATATATATATATAATTTTTTTTTTTAAGTAAACATGTTTTGGGACAAAGGTCACAAATTATGAAAACTAAGTTGTATATTTTTGACAAAAAAAAGTAGTATAATTTCAAAAGAGGGACATAAGTATGTTTTCAATGTTACTCATGGCTAAAAGCATAATTTCTCATGTCATTTTTAACTTGCTGTTACCAAATCAAAAAAAAATTTTTAACTGTTTTTTAATTGTTTTATGTTCAGTTATGACTTATGCAACACAGCTATTCGGCTAATGTTTTTTTTTTAAACATAAAAATATGTATATTCTTTTGGTGAATATTGCAAACGGGGTCTCGGGACACATGAACCGAGATTTAGACTGTACGTAAACATCTACTACGTTCTTCATGTGTTTTGCATCCACAGTGGCTGGAATGCTGCAAGTGTGTTGCAGTGACTTAAGCAGCGCCCTCACCTCAGATGTTCAGTACTTCAAAGGTACCGCCTTGGACCGTTTAAAGGCCACATTTAATCTGAGGAGTAGATTGTAGTGTCATCGATCATATTTTAAAGAGGCGCTCCGTTTCCTGTCAGGTGACGTGATCACTCGACGGCACACGGTGGACATGGCCCAGCAGTACAGGGACCAACTGGCCAAGACCATCTACGGACGTCTTTTCAGCTACCTGGTCAACTGCATCAATGACTACCTGCAAGGAAACGACGACAATGTCTGGTGAGGATGCCATCATTGTTGCTGTCAGCGTTCGTGTAGACATGAAAAACCTGGAAAAGTTTTGAAAATTGCAAATGGATATTCCAGGTCCAAGTTTTTGAAAAAGAGTTTCTGATAAGATCGCAAGCTCTTGGGAGCCAGCCAAAGGGTTCATGGGGACATAGATGTGGGTTTTGGGAGATTTTAAAAATATCTGTTTTGTACGCTGGCGTAACTGTTTGTTGGAGGAGTCGAAAAAATGGTGCGTCTATTCTGTGTCTGTAATGAAGAGCGGACTTTGTGGTCACGAGATCAGGCCTCCTAATGACCCCTTTCACCATCACTGTGGTGCATGCATGAAGTCGGTTTGTAAAATGTACTCGTGCCGAACGTGCAACTTGAATTGCCGCGTATCTTCTATCCATTCCTTGTTGTTGTCTCACTGTGGTAACTGTACGGCGTGCGTGGAATTAACTCTGGGGTCAAAGCTGTTGCAAAGTTGTTATGTCACAAAGTGGGCCGTGTCAATCAAGGCCCCGCCCAGCACTTTTTAACCGCCTGTCATTAGTACGTACTGGATTGGCGGTTACGTTTCCCCAAAAAGCAGTCTAAACAGCGGGTCCGGAAAGCAGTCATTTTTCCGTCGGCGCATCAAGGCCGAGGGGGCCTCTCGAAAACCTCCCGCAAACTCGCCGCAGCTGAAAGTGCCTTAAGGCCCAACGTTGACATTACGAGTAAACTGGTAGCGCGGCGTCAAATAGTTTGAATTACATGACAGGCAGGGAATGGTATGTACACTCAAGCGTGAAATGGAAAATGCAGAACATCATGCAAGGGAACGCTTCCAAGGTTTCAGGGAATGTTTGTCATACCAGACACATGCACAAGCGCACCCGCAAAGAAGTGTTGTGTGTCCATGAGAGTTTTTAGCGTTGTTGTTGTTTGGTTGTCTTCTCTTTCACCAGGGGAAGCTTTCTTCTGCACGTTTTGACGAACTCCTGTATGGCTCCTTCGCCTGTGCAATGTTCCGAGCAAGTTGATACGAGTGCTTCATCAATTTTGAGAACAGCTGTGTCTACATTTTTGTCTGCCGTTTTCAAGTCAACAACTTGGTCTTGGGTCGTTCAATCCATTTGGAAATTCCAATTGGAAAAAAAAACAAAACATTGTTTCTTGTTGTCACAAATGTCAACGTCTTCTGCTTGTTCGTACAACCGCCGAGAGCCCAACAAGTTCCCAAGCCCATTTTTCAATGCGATGGGGAGCTGGTGATTGTTTCGAAAAGTGGGCGAATGGCGGGGGGGCATACAAAAATAAACCGCTCCGAAAAACAAAACTCGGAACAAATACCAAAATTCTTCTTCCAGCGTCTTACAGGAAGTGGCGCACATAATTGTTTCTCCATGTGAGCCCTCAGCAAATAAGTGGATAAGGACAGAATCGTTTGCTATGACGTTCAGCAAAAACCCCGTCAAAACACCCTGAGTTCATCTTCGCATATTTTGTTTTGCTGTGCATTTTATTCCCTCCCATTTTCAGAGCACACCGGCCGGGTTTCCCCTGTAGACATTTGTGTCGATGCGCACGCTCCATGAGATGCACGCACCTGGTACCTCGCTTGACGTGGCTGCCTACCAGGAAGTAAAAAGTGAGGCTTTCCCACCAGTTTAGACGAGAAGTAGATTGAGTGTATCTTTCCTTTTTGCAAAAGAAAGCCCTTTTTTCTTTGCTCATTTTAGGAAGAAGCAGGAGGGGGACACGATGTATTTTTCATTCTTGATAAATGGTTTTCAAGGCTTCCTCCGTTGTCCTCATGCCGTTACCGGTAAATAAAAAGTCCGCCAAAATAGGTATAAATTGCTCCGCAAGCCACTCTCCTGTTAGAAACGCTTTAGATTCTTTTTTTTTTTTTTTTTTTTTTTCTTGAGACAGTGCAGCCTTGCCCAGCGATGCTCCATCCCGTGGTCCCTTCACTAAATACACAATGAATATGGTTGAAGACAGCGTGCTGCGCCGTGCTAAGTTCATTGTGAGAAGGGCTTTTTAGAGCTGCATTAAACCGGGCAAAAGTTGGCCAGTTCATCTTGTGGGATGTTTTTGCCTTCTTTACTTGGAGAGAAAAAATATGCCATGCTTCACTTTGTCCATGGCACGCACCAAATGCAAAGTATTTATGAAAGCAGCTGTCGGTGTTAATGTATGTGTTCATGAAAGGATGTTTGACATGCTTTTCTGTGTTTGATTATCTTCCAGTGACCCTGCCTTCGAAATTGCAATCCTGGACGTCTTTGGTTTTGAAGAATTTCAGAGGAATGGTTATGAACAGGTCAGAAAAACACTCCTCTTTGCTTTAATCATTATTGTTGTATGTGTTTAAATATTGTATTATAGGCATAATAATCTTTAGATTGGTATTTAATAATTTAGTTTCATTCATTTCTTTTTAGGTTTCTTTCCAATAGCAGCCGCCTCTAATGCACTCTGTTCATTTTTTTTTTTTTTTTTTTTTTTTTTTTTTTTTTTTTTTTTTTTTTTGTCAGTGGGGTTGCCAACCACTGGCCAGACAAGAAAAAAAAAAAACATTTTTTCAAATAAAAAAGCAATTGGAAATAAGTTTAATATCTCAGTTTGCAGCAGCCGTTGTTTGTACAGAGAATTAATTCCCGTTCCTTTTCAACTCTGTTGCTATCCCCATTGCGAAACAAAGCAGCAGCATCTACTGAAAAACAAATCAAAACCTCGCCATCCATCATTTTCTCGAACTCATGTCCTCATTCAACTCATGGAAGAAACCCGGACTGGTTGCCGGTCACATTCACTCCTACGGACAGTTTCGGGTCTTCGATAAACGTGCATCTTTTGAAAAGTGGGAGGACTGCCGAGTGCCTATAAATGCCCACCCAAGCATAAGTCGTGTCAAAGAGTCAAACGTAGAACTTTAAACCAGTGAGGCTGGCGTGCTAAACACTTTTCCAGCATGCTGCTAAAAACAAAAACAGACGGCAACAAAAGGCTTTTAGGTAGCATTTAGGGTGAGTGGGACTCATGTTTGTTGTATCTAAGTGTGGACATCCCAGCAATATTTGAGGACTTCACAGAAAATATCCATCCATCCATCCATCCATTCTCGGAACTGCTTTTTCTCCCGAGGGTCAGAGGAAAAAAAAAAATCACGAAAATCAGTAGAAACTTGACACTTGACATACTGTATAAATTTGCTTCACTTGCTGGTAAAAAAAATCTAAAATTGTACACGTCCCTCTAATTGATGGTGTGTGCATTATCCAAATAAGACATTTTTCTGCATTAAAAAAAAAAAAAAACACACAAAAACAGATGAACTTAAATTGTCTGCGAATGACTGTTTTTCACAGATGAACAATAAACTATTGTGCACTTTGGAGCAAAGGATTGCTCACCAAAACATCAGCACCTAACGAGTCATTTATAATGTCTCTTGGATCATTTCAAGTGTCGAATTACTACAACTTTTCGGAGACAACTTCTTTAATGATTCTGTGTTCGAGTTGACTCAGGCGTGATCACGCTACAATGCGGCGTGAATTATGATATACTGTGAACAGCGTTTAATAACATATGGTTCATATTTTATGATACACTATGTGTACTGGTACAGTTTAGAAAAAAAAATTACAGTGGCTATAATCTATTGAATGTAATTTTTTTTTTTTTTTTATGTAACGGTCATCCCTTATTCAACTATTTCACCAATTCAAGCTTGTGACGGTCCAGAAGATTAACTCGCTGACATCTCTGGAATGTAGTTTAATCATTTCCCCGCCCCCGCAAAAAAGTGTGACAGTCATCATCTGCTTTCGGAACATTTTTAGCCTCTAATTGTAACGAATCATGTGAAGCCTGCGGTTGACTTGGCTTAACTTTCGCTCGTCCTCACATGACCCGACGATTTCAATTGCCTCGGTTATTGGGCGTGTGTGTGTGTGTGAGAGAGAGAGATCAGGATCACAATGGCAACAGCATGCCCACATCCATGTGTAAATGATTACATTGTAGTGTGTTAAGACAAAGAGGGTCTAAATGAAACCGTTTAAATATTGTTTTGACTTCCCCTCGCCCTGCCTGGGCGATGGAACAATTCCTGTAACCTCGCCTGACTAATGAAGGTTGTTTTATAATCATTAACTTTTATTAGTATATGTGTATGCTTAAGTATGAACGGGATGAAGCAAATATCACACTTAATACAAAATAAATGTTGGAAATTAAAATAATGTTTGTACTTTTTATTTAACAATATTAGTCAAGATTTAAACGAACCTCATATGCAGGCTACACATCTACATAATGATATTAAAGGCTGAATGTTTTTTTTTAATTTATTGTTAAAGTGTTAAATTCTCGGCCATATAAGACAAGTAACCTCACAAGCTGTTATCTGTCAGATGGCTTATTGCAAAATATTTTGTGGTGACTTGAGGTGTTTCACTGTAATTGTTTTGTTTTGTGAAGTGCTAATCCCTGTAAATTTGTATTTACATGTAGTCAAGCACATCCGGCTTGTTTGCGCTCATTGTTTCTTCCAATCATGTGTGAAATTTGTGATGATGGTACGGTATGTTCAGCTCTTCTTGTCTGCGGTCTAAACAGAGCATGTGCTCATTTTGGCATGCAGTGTTAATAGACAATGGAATTCTAAGACCTGTAGTGTGCGTGTACATGTGCGTGCGTGTTTGTGGCTCTACATGTCCTCTAATCCAAGCGAAGGTCACGAAGAGATAAGTAGGTGTGAAGGAATAAGTGTGAGACAACCTATTCAATACTTTCCGCTGTCGGCGTGTTAGCATGATTTTCATTTATGCTGTCTGACAACTCCACTTGCGTTCTCTTGTCCGACCCAATAATCCCGTAGAAGAACTGTATAAGAATTCAGCCATGACAAAATGAATGATACTCGAGCAAATTTCTAAGTCAAACCGTACTATTTTGTTTGCTGTTGTTGCCTGCCATTGGCTAATTTCCACATAACTTTGTAAAAGGTTAGCAAATTTGCCGTTAAGAACCACATTACATGTTGGTGCAATTACTGATTTTCTCACCTCCCTCACCCCCGAGCTGACGTGGAACAGCCCCACCTCCCCCCAGAATGCAAATGGTAGAGTCCTCCCATCTTCTTCTAACATGTTACATCATTCCCCATGAAGCAGGAAGTAGCCTGAACTGGAATGTCTTTTTGAAATATCTTTCTTTCTACTTTTGTTAGACTTATGTATTCCTATTTTGCCATCTCAGTGGGGTTGTCCCCTACACTACAGTATAAAAAATGGTACTAATCTACGAAATGGGACATAGCCTACAAATACATTTATTGCCAGCAGTATTCAAAGCAGAGTTCCTGGTATTGCTAGCTGCTTTTTTTGGCATTTTAGCTATGTCAGTTGAAAGTGTTCTGTGACAGTATGAGCACCAACGCTACCAAAAGAAAGAGTTGCGTCTCTTCTTTCACCAGAAAACAAAAAGCTTTGTCGCTTTTTTTAGTACTTGGCAGTAGAACATGGGTTTTGTGAACCAAGAACACAGTTTTTTGATCAAAAAGCAAACAAAAGGTGCTTTTTGTGAAACAAAGTAAATCAATAAAACAAATAAACAAGCAGTACAGTTACTTTGACGAATATATTTTGCTTCAGTGACACCTCAAACTAACAAAACACACACACACACACACACACACACACACACACGGGTATAGTGACTGGTAGAAAAATCTTTCCATTTGATGGCATAAAGTACAATAAACCTCTCTATTCATTACTAAGTCTTTCAGTTTTCTGTTCAAACACGCAAATCAAGATTGCATGTTGTTGTGAGTACATTTGGGACTAAATTGAGACGACGTCATCATGTAGGACATCGTTCAGTCATCATATGTTTTGTGACACTTAAAAGTTTGGCCTGGAGTCGAAAATGGAAGGATGCGTGGATGAATGATTAACGTATTGCCCCTCCTATGTCACTAAAGAAGACAAGTAAAACTGTAATCCCTCCTCGTAGACGTGCGCACGTCAGTGACAAACACATCCGCACACTTGTTAACATGTTTGTACACACGCGCACTGACCGACATAGACTCAGTCACACTACACACGCACAGCATGATCAGGGTCATTAGTGCTTGTTAATTAAAGGTGTGTGTGTGTGTGTGTGTGTGTGTGTGTGTGTGTGTGTGTGTGTGTGTGTGTGTGTGTGTGTGTGTGTGTGTGTGTGTGTGTTTTGAACCTGCTCAGCACTCTGCTAATGAGCTAACTCAATCAAGCACCTGCTGCGATGTAGCCCCGAATAGAGCAGACAAACACAGAGAGGAAAACAGGAGTGCACTCACCTGTGTCCCTAAGTGCACTCCTGCCGTAAACGTGCGCTCGTTATCTGCAGGCCTTGTCCTGTCTGTGTTTGTTGTTTGCATCCGTTTCGGCTCCGTTGAGTCACATGATTTGCCGTCGTGGGCATGATGTGGAGTCGGCGAGCGTGTTGTTTATTTTAAGCAGCCGTCACTTTACACGTGAGCTTGCTCAGATATATGATTGCTCGAGTTATCAACAGGGAGATGCCTCGCACAAAGGGATACAGCAATTGGTTTCACGTGGGGTCTTGAATAGCTGTTCAGATGAGAAACAACCTTTCACACCGGGCTTGTGCTTCACAATGGGGCTGCTCTTATAAAAATATGCATCATCAATCATTCTAAACGTACTCTTTATGTCTTTGAGAAGTGGCTCTATACATGACCTGGAATGGTTTTCCACACTCTCTGTAAAACCACTAAGGACTAACGCAGTACCTTCCTGGTACACTTGTTGACTTCTGAATCCCCGCCCTCCCATACAGGAATAAATGTAGATAAGCTGTTTGACGTTCACATCCAAACAGCAGCTTTTCCATGCTCAAAACATTTGCATGTTGCTGATTCGCTTTGAATGATGATTGGGTGAATTTCATATTTTTGAAATTTGAAAACATTTGGTACTTAATGTTCACGTTTTCCTTTTAGATTTAGGAACAGTGGGTCGGTACTTGCATGCTATAGTAGCCGCCACTAAGTAGCATGTATCAAGTGTCGAGAGGTTTTCTTAGAGTTGAAGCATATGACTTGTATATGTTAAAACCTGTGACTTCCACACGAGATCCCCCCGCACACACACACAGCTAAGGCTTTTGTTCCACATCTTCCTGTACTGAGAACTATAGTTTAACTCCTGGTACACATCCTGTGTGTCGTCAACAACACAATGGTGATAGATGAAAAAGACCCTCTCCAAGGAGGCCCTCTTCCACTTCCGTTTGTTTCTGTGTGTGTGTGTAGTTTTGCCAATTACATCCCATTGACCCTCCCTCAGCCCCCCCCCCCCACCACCCACATGTTCCAAAGGGTGTTTGTTAATGGGTGTCAAACCAAAAGACCCCCTTCACGTGCAATGAAGATTTGTTAAGTGTGGGTTGTGTTGGTTCCAGCTGTGTGTCAACATGACCGACGAGCGACTGAGGCGCTACGTCTCTGAGGTGCTATTCCAGCAGGAGCAGGCTGAGTGTCTGCAGGAGGGCATCGCCATGGAGACCTCGCCATCCCCCAGCAACCATCCATCTGCTCTGGACTTCTTTCTCCAGGTACTGTCAGTTGGACTTGCACGTAGAAGTAAACTGAATGAATAGAAATAAGTCACACAATCAAATAAAAATCCCTCAATATACATGTCATACAGTAAAAAAAAAAAAAAAAATGTGTTGAATTGACTCCATTTATTTCACCTGGCTGCACAAAATAAAATCACCGTCGTGTCATAATGTTGGCGTCTCTTTGCGAACCAGAAGCCTCAAGGACTGCTCAGCGTGTTGGATGAGGAGAGTCAGAGTCTTTGGCCGACGGAGCAGAACCTCTACAAGAGGTTGTCCACCCAGCTTGAGTCCAACCCGACGCACAGCCTCTCCTTCACCACCAAGGATGGCAACGGAAACCCACCACCCAAAGATCAAGGCCCCACTTTTACTGTTCGCCACTATAGCGGCCAGGTCAGAAAAATGAACGCCAAGCATGTCAGGACTGAGGAATCCATTTTCTTCTGGAATAGCAGTGCCGTTTAGCAAGAGCATATATCAATTAATTATGTTGAAATTGAATATAATGTTACCACCTTATGGTAGAATCCTCTCCCTTTTCCACTGTGCAGTCACTACTTGGCTCAACATGGCTTGACTTGTCTTTTGATGCTTTTTCTTCGGCAAAAGCAGGACCTAATTCTACTAATTCCTGGTCAACAAACCTAGCGAACCTCTCACAGTTTCCAAAGCAAGTTGAGCAATGGAAAAGCGGCCCAACAGAATTGGGCTTGACACTGTTACATACAATACCTGATAAGATTTGTCCAGTGTATGAAATCCAAACCCTACAGTTAAATAATGAGAAATGGCCAATGAAAAGCAAAATTAGCTGCTGTCTGCTTTAATGAACAGTGCTACCGAGCAATACAGCTAACCCTCCTTTTTAATCCTAATTATTCAGGTCCTACGGGTTGTATACATGGAATTCAATTCAGAAAACTTACTAAAGGTGGAATATGGTGCTTGGTACCTTTGCAATCATCATGCTTTCATGTCACCATCCTTTCATCCGTAATGCAAAACTGTCTGAAAGCCATTTTTTTGAGTCCCATTGACCCAGTCACCCTTTATATGGACATAATGAAGTGGTTGTGCCTCATATCAAACATAATGTGTTCCATTAGTTGCCTGTATTAGATAGATATGAATAGGAAGAGCATTTTTATTTAAAAAAACAACCTACCGAAAATGTTTTCTCTTTTCTTCCTAAATCACGTCCAAAAACTATAACGGAACATTTTTAATTACAAATCATTTGAAACTGTGCCATGTTGTTCTTATCTGTGTCAGGCCATTGCCTCCAGGCGTGATGTTTTCCCAATGGAAAAAAAAGAAAGAAGACAATACTAATTCTGTGTTGTTGTTGTTGTTGTTGTTGTTTTCAGACAATACTAATTCTGTGTTGTTGTTGTTGTTGTTTTCTTTTTTTTTTTCCAGATTGCGTATGACCTCACAGGATCGCTCATAAAAAACAAGGACTCCCTTCCTCAGAACATCTTGTTTACGATGAAGTGTGAGTACTCACTGAGCAGTGTGCATATGAGCACATTGTTGCGTCAGCGCATACTTGATACAAAGATCCACTCATGTCTAAACCAACAGCGCTCCAGAACACTCTCTGTCTGAGTGTGTGTGTGTGTGTGTGTGTGTGTGTGTGTGTGTGTGTGTGATGCAGACAGCAGTGTCTGTGTACGTGTATTGTCGATGAAGGTGCCAGATGTGAGGTGTCGCAGCTCAGGGACACAGACGAGTCGTTGTGCGACTGCCAGACTCGCTTGTGCGTCCAGCAGCCTAATTGCTTCAATTTCCATGATGTGGCTAATCTTCTTAAGGCCCGGCCTTCATTCACACTCGCCCCTTGTCTTCCTCACCCCGAGCAGGCGGCAGCGCAGGCATTCAAATCACAAACAGACTGTGAACACAATGCAGAGGTTAACATGGAGACGGTATTTTTCCTCCCTCCATTTTTTTGTTCATTTCTAGGCACGCTGAAAATGAAAAATAGTCATCTTTGGGACTCAGACTTTGTTTTTAAGAAGTAAGAGAGTAGTATCATGACACTGAATTGCAATGTGAGAAGAATAGGGTGATATTTATTTTTGTTGGGTGGGGGCGGGGTCACAACGATAAAGTCATAAATTTGAATTGAAAACTAATAAAATTGAGATCTGTAGTGTTTTTTTTGGCAAGTGGATAATAGACCTGATTTTTTTGTTTGTGTGTATTTGCTTGCTAAAAACTTATGTTGCAACGACAACTTCATGATCATAAAATTATGTAATTTAAACATATTTTTGTCATAATTCTCATAATATTACAACTAAATTCTTTTAAAATTGTGATATTTCTTTCATGTAAAATTTCTTTCCTTTCCATTTTTTCTCTTAACACTTGATTTTATGATTCAAAATGTGATTTTTTTTTTTTTTTTTTTTTTTTGGTAAATCGGCTTTACACAATTAGGATTTTGGAGCCGAAAAACGAGCACCGATCATCAATCCGAGCTGAAGAAGAACAAATCTATCCAATCTATTTAAAGATTTTGTTTATTTACTGTACCGAAGAATAAAAGCTAGAATCTACCTTGACGGACTGACCGTTGGTAACATTGTGCCGCCGAGCGCAGTATGATGACCCAAAGTTGGTGCCCTGAGTCGCCCCACTAGACGGTCGGTAATTTAAATGAACGAGAAGCCCGCATTCCCTCACGGTGTGCCGGTTTTATTTTGTATGCGGTCTTACGGCTCCCTCTCTAAGCCTTTAAGCTTCTAGAAGTTGATGAGATCTATGTAAGTGATTGCTTTAAATGAAAAGACAATTAGCTCTGAAGCGCTGTGTAATTAAATCCCTAAATTGCTTAAATGATTGTGTTTTTTTTTCTTTGCTCTTTAGCTGACTGTAATCAAATATTCCCTCTTACGCACTTAGTTGGCATGTGTTGTTCACTGAGTCTTCTGCTGTTCCTTGACTAGGACATTCGGCGTTCTACCAGAGGTGGCGCTATGTTACCTATTGAGCGAAACTTTGGTGTTTCTGTTCATTTTCGGTAGTACTTCGGTGTTTTCATGTCACTTACGATTGGAGCATCTTGTGTCCATCTATCAATTGACCAAACCCAACATTTAGATTTTTCTGATGTCATGTAAACGTGTTGTTTCAAACACCTCCACGTGCCCGCTAATTGTTTACATGAGGCCCTCCCCACCCTAAGTCCCCTGCTATGATTCTTCTCCCATCCACCCCCCAGTTTCCACCAATGCGCTTGCTTCTCTTCATGCTTGTTTTCTTCCCTGTGTGCTTTGTACCCTGCAGCCAGCGAGAGTGTATTGCTGCGGCAGCTCTTCCTGGCCAAGTTGACTCAGACTGGTTCGCTGGTCCCAGCAGCCCAAGGTCGGGTCGGGCTCAGGGGCTCCAAAGCTTTACTGCTGCTCAACAGGATGCCACCAGCCAACCTGGCCAGCATGCCTCCTCAACCCCACCGGGGGTATCGTGACCTCACCAAGGTATCGTGTGCTGGTCACAAAGCGGTATGTTCGGGATTTGCTCTTTCGCTTACCAAAACAAATCTCAAATCTCACGTATGCCACAGGCTGTCAAGTTTGTTGAACTTGGTGCCTTAATTGATGAGTGGAAGGACGTCCAAGATACAACCAGTCATGAGCTCTTCAAATAGAATTAGGCGAATGACGGTGCTTATAATCAATGGAAATGGAGAAATGGTATTTTTAGAAGGAAACAAAAACACGCCGGCCTAATTTAAACTTCTTCCCACCATAGGCTATTTATAAACCTCTGGGAATTACATTTTTTGTACGGCCCAAACTGACAAAAAATAAATAAATAAAATAAAGCCTTACAGCCATGTGTATGCACAGATGCACTCTCACACACACACTTGCAGTCTGGGCACAGTCGAGATAACACAAATTGTTCCCATGGTATTCGTTCTTAACAAAAATGATCTTTCAACAATTCCTGTGGTGCAACCAAACGCTTTTCACTGTTTCCATTTCATGAGTTTTGTTGTTTTGAAAAGCTCATTTCGACCATGCACATGTGACTGAAGACACTTCCTGCCCATGTAACCTCCTGAGGGTATGGCTTTCTGTCTCTGTGGCTCATTAGCCATTTAGCACACTGGTTTACATAAGGACCCTTACAATGCCCAGTGCTGTCCCTCCAGCCTAGTGTTACACCAGGTAATGCAGCAGCAGTGGCCTCACTATAAGAAAATAAGAAAATAAATGCCATGTGTCCAGTCAAGCTTGCCAGCTTGTAAATTCATTGTGCCAATTACCATCGCATGGACACAGGTTTTATCAAGCCTGTGCATGTAATGGGACATCTCTAAAAGCAATACAGTCTGAAATGATAACTTTACATATTATATCATATTCATATATAGCTGCCATCGCTTCGTACAGGAAACGAGGAAACTGCCTTTGTTCAGATTTCTAAAGGCATTTTTTTCCGAATGGAATAAATGTTAAAGGGTAAAACCGTCGCTAGTATAACTTTACCATTTAAAGTGACAAGCTTATAAATTTGACACACCACAGAGAAGACTGCAAGACAGTCAAATTTGAATGAATTAAAAAAAAAACTGAAATCAAGTTTCAAAATGATAAAAAATTTAGACTTTGCTTCAGTTGTCAGAAGCTGCGGGCGTATCTGCCAAATAGGTTGGAAACACGCCCTTGTCGACTCTTACCTGTCACTCAAATACACTGTAGTACATTCTCACACTTTGTGCCCTGTTGTCACGCACACTACATACAGTATGTCTGTAATGTGAGCCATAATTTGAATAATGTGTGCCGCGATGTTAAACACTTATCTTTCGCTGAATTGTCTCTATTATGTTAATCCACAAACTGACACAATGCTAACTGAAGCGCTGACGTATTGGACGACCTTGCCGCTTTCCCGTGGTGTCCAGAAATCCACTAGCCAGTAAGCTAACAACAAGCTAGCATAATAAACAGTTTGCTTTCTCTGAAGTTTTTCTGGTGTCGACTCACGCAGGGCGCACGGACGACACTGTGGAGAATGGGACGGCCCCACCGTTGGTTTGCGAGCGGGCAAGCGAGCTAGTCTGCTAGCTATCAGCAAGCTCCAACTAGGAAGCTAGTGAAAATAAGATTAAGGGTTTGGCTGGGTTTCATGTCTGCTTTAAGGTAAATAAGACTGCGTCCAACATCTTTTAACAAAATACAACTATGTAGGTACTGATACGCTTCGGAGTTGTTAAGATTGCTCAATGCCTCACAGTCCAAAGTGATGGCGTTCAAAAAGTTTGACTGGATGTCGTCGCTGCCCACTTTTTGATGTCAGCCTCCGACCCCGCCACATTAGTAAGGAAGCAGGATTGAAACGTTTTCTCTTTTAAGCTGCGAAATGTGTACTCGTGCAAACTGTGAGCATTTAAAAAACAGCCGGCTCCTGTTCATACTGGAAGGCGCGCCCAGAATTCATGCAAAGGCTCATGGGATGGAGGAATAAGGTGGACATATCAACAATTCAGTACTAAGTTGATCTCAGTCATTGCACGTGTTCAGCGCCTATTATGTCTAAACTAATCACGAAAATCACTTAAACGGTCTTGATTATTAATTGTCTTACAAAAAGTTAACAGCTATTGGTAAAACGCTGCTTCAGTTGCAAAGGAAGTTAATCCAAGTTTTTTTCAATAGCGATTTTCGAAGAGTAGTCGTAAACAAACGCCCATTTAAACTCACACTCACACCTGTGGACAATTTGAAAACTTCAATGAACCTCACATACATGTTTTTGGAATGTTGGAGGAAGTACACCATCCCCCACCCTCTCAGAAAAAAAAAAAACAACAGGGGAGAACATACAATCTCCATACAAGAAGGCCAAAGGCAATTTTAATTCTGAACCTCAGAAATGTGAGCATTTTTTTCCGAATGGAATAAATGTTAAAGGGTAAAACCGTCGCTAGTATAACTTTACCATTTAAAGTGACAAGCTTATAAATTTGACACACCACAAAGAAGACTGCAAGACAGTCAAATTTGAATGAATTAAAAAAAAAACTGAAATCAAGTTTCAAAATGATAAAAAATTTAGACTTTGCTTCAGTTGTCAGAAGCTGCGGGCGTATCTGCCAAATAGGTTGGAAACACGCCCTTGTCGACTCTTACCTGTCACTCAAATACACTGTAGTACATTCTCACACTTTGTGCCCTGTTGTCACGCACACTACATACAGTATGTCTGTAATGTGAGCCATAATTTGAATAATGTGTGCCGCGATGTTAAACACTTATCTTTCGCTGAATTGTCTCTATTATGTTAATCCACAAACTGACACAATGCTAACTGAAGCGCTGACGTATTGGACGACCTTGCCGCTTTCCCGTGGTGTCCAGAAATCCACTAGCCAGTAAGCTAACAACAAGCTAGCATAATAAACAGTTTGCTTTCTCTGAAGTTTTTCTGGTGTCGACTCACGCAGGGCGCACGGACGACACTGTGGAGAATGGGACGGCCCCACCGTTGGTTTGCGAGCGGGCAAGCGAGCTAGTCTGCTAGCTATCAGCAAGCTCCAACTAGGAAGCTAGTGAAAATAAGATTAAGGGTTTGGCTGGGTTTCATGTCTGCTTTAAGGTAAATAAGACTGCGTCCAACATCTTTTAACAAAATACAACTATGTAGGTACTGATACGCTTCGGAGTTGTTAAGATTGCTCAATGCCTCACAGTCCAAAGTGATGGCGTTCAAAAAGTTTGACTGGATGTCGTCGCTGCCCACTTTTTGATGTCAGCCTCCGACCCCGCCACATTAGTAAGGAAGCAGGATTGAAACGTTTTCTCTTTTAAGCTGCGAAATGTGTACTCGTGCAAACTGTGAGCATTTAAAAAACAGCCGGCTCCTGTTCATACTGGAAGGCGCGCCCAGAATTCATGCAAAGGCTCATGGGACGGAGGAATAAGGTGGACATATCAACAATTCAGTACTAAGTTGATCTCAGTCATTGCACGTGTTCAGCGCCTATTATGTCTAAACTAATCACGAAAATCACTTAAACGGTCTTGATTATTAATTGTCTTACAAAAAGTTAACAGCTATTGGTAAAACGCTGCTTCAGTTGCAAAGGAAGTTAATCCAAGTTTTTTTCAATAGCGATTTTCGAAGAGTAGTCGTAAACAAACGCCCATTTAAACTCACACTCACACCTGTGGACAATTTGAAAACTTCAATGAACCTCACATACATGTTTTTGGAATGTTGGAGGAAGTATACCATCCCCCACCCTCTCAAAAAAAAAAAAAAAAACACCAGGGGAGAACATACAATCTCCATACAAGAAGGCCAAAGGCAATTTTAATTCTGAACCTCAGAAATGTGCGGCAGACTCCCTGACTACTGGGCCACATTCTGCCCGATTACAAAATACAAGAAACAACACCCCTCTTCTCACATTCTTCATTTCAAAACGTTTTGCAAAAGAGTCACAAAAAAAAAAAAAAAAACCCAGCAAAGAGCAAGCGTGTAATTGATAATTTGATGCTTGTTGAACTGAGGTCTTGTGAGCTTTAATGATTTCCCCCCACATCTCACATGGTGTCATACTGGTTTAGTGTATTCTTGCAAGTTAAATTAAAATTTCAAAGCGGTCACTGAAAAGCCAAATACAAAACAATGGGGTGCTCACTGAACTGAGCTCTAGTGAAGTAAGCCAATATAACGCGCTGACAGCGGTGGCAGCGGTTTCATCTTCAATAAGCTAAACACACCAAAAAAGGAGAGAAAGAACTCACGCTTATGCCTGCACTGATGATAAATTCATTTCTAAACTGCACATCACAATATGGAATGTGTTCTGGCTGGGTCCCCAACTTGTATTTAGACCACTTAAGATTAGGCTGTTGGGTTGCCATGGTAATGAGAGCTAGTCTCCATATCACACTGCCTTGGAACGATCCAAATGATTTTAACGCGCTTTGAACTTACTCATGTGTCCCTCTCTGACTTTGTTTCAACTGTCAGATCTTAAAGAAGAAAGGCTCCAGCTCCTTCCTTCAACGTCTAGAGCGCTGCGGACCCATTACAGTGGCGGTCCAGCTGAGGGTAACGACGTGCACCTCATCAGTCACTCATGCAATGTACTGTCAAACTGCTAATGATGAAACGTCTTAATGTTTATAACGGTGAGATTTGTTATACAGTCCTTATATTGGGTGTGGACCAATGTTCTCGCTAATTTTCCATATGTCAGAGCATTCACACAAACTCTCTTAGCATTCCGTTATCACAACTGTCCAAAACCGGAGATCATAACAAGTTGCATGATGTGGATATGTAACCAAAAAAAATCTGCGCTCGCACTCACACCTAGGGACAATTTGGAGCGTTCAATCAGCCTCCCATGCATGTTTTTCGAATGGAAGGCCGGAGCCGGGATCGAGCTCACGACCTCTGCACTGTGAGGTCAACGCGCTAACCACTCGACCACCGGGCCGCCTATATAATTGAATAAAACACAAATATTTCTCGTCCCCTGTCCTCTGAAACGTGCAAAACAGCCTAATTTAAGGGTCTCGTAATCTATGTCCATATTTGGACTTCCTGAATGGAGCAGTCTGTGTGCCACCTGCAGCGTCATTCACGTCAGTGGTAGGTCGATGCGTGTCATGGTATGATTGAAACTACAGTAAAACTCCCGAGTGTGCACTGTCCACCCTCAACCATATGACTGAAACTCTAAAGGGCAGTGGGAATGGTGTGGTGTCCTGTTTGTAGATTAAACTGGGGTGTAAACGAAGGCATGAGTGTAGAAATGTCTGCGCATGTTGCGCACCAGCATCACTCTATGCGCTCGGAGTGCAAAAGCAGTGTGCAATTGCTCACGCGCGCAGCTTAGAGGGAACATGTACAATCATTTTTCCAAGGAGTCAACATTTGAGGCTTCCTTTTTACTCAGAATAATCGTCCGCGTGGTCAATTTGACTGTCATACTTGAAAAGACCGACATTGCGTCGTAAAGCCACGAGACTTTGAATGAATCTCTAACATGCCTTTATAAAGCAACAACAATATGAGTTAAGAGAAGGAGAAGCGCTTTGCCTGCTGGTGATGCATGTCTGCCGAACGTGCCTCAGGGAAGCGGCGCCTGCGCTTTGAATGAGACCAGTGTGTTTCACAATCACAGTGGCCTTTTGGGCGCGTGGTCCAAGAGTCCTTTGGGGAGGAGGGAGGGAGTCGGTGCTGGAGAGAGTAGGTTGAAGAATGACGCTGTACCACGCTTGAAGCCCTCCTCATGAATGAATGAACAATGGACAGCAAGCACTGTGTGACGTGCATCCTGCCAATGTTGCCAGAGCACACGTATTCTCCGACGTGAGGGCTGTTGAGGGCTCGGAGTTGAGGGGGGAGTGGGAATTGTGAGGTATGCAGAGCGTGAGGTTGACGTTTGGGGAGTGGCGAAGCATGCAGTTGTTTTCAAGTTGAAGTGTGCGTGAGTACAAAGGAGTATTGGGGCAGCACGAAAAAGAAAAGGATTTCTTGTTCTCCAAAGAATACAATCTCATCCTTGTGATTTCTCAACTTGAGTTGTCTTAACACTGCAAATGTATGCTTGTGGAGGCTCTCAGTCGTACAGGAAAGTTCCATCGTAGAAAGGGTTCTGTCAGTCGTCATCTGTACCTGTGGGTAAAAAACAAAAAACAAAAAAAACAAAAAAGGACGTTTCGCTTCTCTCACAGA